TTTGGATTCTCATAGCCTAAGCCTTCACGAGGATTAAAAAATATGGTTTCGGTAGGCTTGTTCAGAAAAATAGTTTGATCAGTTTGCCCTCTTATACAACTTCTCTTCCTGGGCCTTCAGTTTTTCATTTAAAATTTTGTTTTGTAAGGTAAGAGTACTGTTTTAACAATTAGATCATCATTCAACAATTCTAACGATTTATACTTCTCGTAAGAATCGGATAATTCAACTTTTAAGATGTCTGATTTTTCGGAAATTTTTTTTCTTTCAGACAGCAAAGATTGAGCCCAATCAAAATTTTCAGCATTTTCATYGWTCARTTTAATGTATTTATCTTGTTGCATTTTAAGATCTTTTTCAAGAATAGCAACACGTTCTTTTTTAGATTTTAACTTTTGCTGAAAATCCTGAAGTTTGAGCATCATTCTATGCATCTGTTCCATGCATGAATTCTTTAATACCTCATCATTCAATTCAGTACTCTCTTCTTCATTGTCAGATGAATTAGTCTCAGTTCTTGCCATCAGACAAATATGTGCAACAGCCTCTGACTCCTCTTCCTCATCAGTTAGATTAAGCCAATGATCATCCTCAGCCATCAGTGCTTTTCCCGCATCCTTTTGCTTGGAAAGAAGGAATTTATTTTTATAGTAATCAGTGTTTTTCGACACTGGTTTTCTACAATTAACTGCAAAGAGCCCCAACTTGTCACAGTTGTAACACTTTGTGTTCTCGTCAGCCACTCCCTTCACAAACTTTTTCTTCTCTTCCGGTTTCTTTTCAAACTTCTTTTCATATCTTTTCTCTTCGTACTTTTTTTCTCACCAAATTTGTCTTTGAAGTAATATTTAGACCCAGAAGAGAACCTTTGATTATTGGAGTGCGGTTTCTTATAGAATTTCTTCTGAAAACCTTGGTCAGCATCACCATAGCTTGCTTAATCTCTTTTATGTCAGAATCAGAATCGTCGCTGCTTTCAGTAGAAGATTCACTCATCTGAATCACTTCCTTCACCTGCTTCCCAAACTTACTCTTGCCTTTCTTCTCAGACACAAACGCCAAAGGATCATTAACTTCTTTTTCCTTCTTCTTCTTCAAGTCTCTGACTTCCAGCACTTCCTCTTCGTTTTGCTTCAGAGTTTCATAAACCTCATGAATATCAATATCAAATAAAGATTTGTTATATTTGATATTATTAGCAAACGGTTTCCACTCTGGTTGCAAATTACTCAGAAAATTGACATTTATTTCAATCCTTGTCTTTCTAATGTCATTCTTTGTCAGCTCCTTTAGAAGTCTGGTCAATCTATAATAAACATCATCAAGACGTTCACCCTCTCTAGCCTTGAATTCTTCATAAGCAGTAATATAGTTAGTAACCTTCAGTTGAGTTCCCACTTTACATGGGTGAGAGCCTAAGAAATAAGAGAGTTCTTGAAGAAATTTGCAGCATCCACAAAGTGAGATTTGTTGGCGGGAATGTCTACAAGTGCAATATGATTATTTACCTTGAAGGCACCTCGTCAATCGAGAAGCTCGCATTTCTAGCAGACATTTCTATTTATATAAAAGAAAAGCAGAAGATATTAGGTTTATTAGAAATCCACAAGATAAAAGTGTAAACTGTAAGTTTTGAATCGATAAAACTTCTTTTAAAAAAATCCACAAGAAGATTTAGGATTTTTCAAGAAGAATAAGTGTATAGAAACTTAGATTATAACCAAGTAATAGAATGAGTTAGTAATATGTTTGTTAGTTGTTCAAGAGAGCAAGTTCTTAAAGAACATAATAAAAGTTTCTTAGAAGGAGAACATATCAAAATAAAGAAAGAAAGTTATCAACTTGTGATTTGAAAAGAAGAAGATTGAAAGTTTTTTGAGTGTTCTTGAGTTCTTACTTTGGAAACGTCTTAGAGGCAAAGATTCGACTATAAATTTTGTAAACGTAAAGAAAAAAATGAGAGAAGAAGTCTCATATTTATAGGTAAGAGGAGAGAGAAATGGAAAGAAGAGAGAAAGAGAGAAAAATACGACTTAAAAGTTGTACAATGATGAAAAAGGTAGCACGTCCTCATCTACGATTGGATAGAATTTGAAGAGGTCGTGTGTCTCAAATCGGTACGCGCGTCTCAAAAAATCGTATCATTAAAAAGAAATGACGTCAGACTACGATTCATTTTCCATGTTCTTTCAAAAAAATGAGTTTAAGTCTTTCAAAAACATATGAGATATTGAATATGAAAAGTGAGTATGAGTTTTTAAGAGTATATCTTTTTGAAAAGATATGTTTAAAAAAGGTTCAGTGATAAGAAGAATCACTGAAGAAATTTTTATTTTAAAAACAATTATCACTGATTAAGAAAAGGTTCAGTGATGGTTTTGTTTTAAGAAAAGATAAGTACATTTTAGTGAGATATACTTTGCTTAAAGGGTTCAGTGATAGAAGGAACACTGAAACATTTTTGTAAAACAGTTTGGTCACTGAATATGGAAAGATTCAGTGACAGTTTTAAGTTTTGAAAAGAAGGATAAGTATACATACCTTAGAGAGAGAAGATATATTACTCAAGAGTTCAGTGATATAATAAGAACACTGAATTATTTCACTTGCTGAATATTGCTTATAGTTGAAGGAATTAATCCTCAGCGTTTAGCATCTCAAGTTCGTTGATCAAGATGTTGAATCTTGTCTCATCAAGAGGCTTTGTAAAAAGGTCAGCGAGTTGGTATTTAGTTGGTATAAAGTGAAGTTCAATATTACCATTCATAATATGATATCTGATAAAATGATATGATATTTGATCTCAATATGTTTGGTCTTGGAGTGAAGAACAAGATTATTTGCAATAGCAATAGCAATAGCAATAGCAATAGCAATAGCAATAGCAATAGCAATAGCAATAGCAATAGCACTAATGCTATCACAATAGATAGGGATCTTAGAAAGCTGAAGATCATAGTCATTGAGCTGGTTTTTCATCTAAAGAATTTGGCATAGCAACATATTCAGCTTCAGCAGTTGATGTGGACACAGAATTTTGCTTTTTACTTCTCCGGCTAACCAACTTTCCACTTAGAAGCTGACAGCCTATAATGGTGTTTTTCCTATCAATTTGCAACCTCCGAAATCACTATCCGAATAACCTATTAGGTCAAAACCTGAACCCTTGAGATACCAAAAACCCAAGTTAGGAATTCCCTTTAAATATCTGAATATGCGTTTTACAGCAATCATATGAGATTCCTTAGGTTCAGATTGATATCGTGCACATAGACAGGTAGAGTACATGATACTTGGACCACTTGTTGTGAGATACAGTAGAGAGTCGATCATTCCTCTATAAACAATAATGTTTACAGGCTTTCCGTTTGGATCCTTGTTCAGAGAGAGATGAGCCATTGGAGTCTTCATAGATGAGTTGTTTGATAGATCAAACTTCTTCAACATATCTTTGACATACTTACTTTGACTGATGAAGATACCTTTATCTGACTGTTTGATCTGAAGACCTAAAAAGWATGTTAGTTCTTCCATCATGCTCATCTGATATTCTTTCTTCATGCGTTCAGCGAACCGAAAACACAAAGAGGGATTAGTGAAACCAAAAATAATATCATTGACATAAATTAGGACTAGAATGATATGACCCTTAATTTTCCTAAGAATAAGGGTTTGGTCAATCTTTCCATAAACAAATTTCTCAGAGAGGAGAAATGAGAAAAGGTATCATACCAGGCATGAGGGGCCTGTTTTAACCCGTAAAGAGCTTTATCCAATCTATAGACATGATTTGGATATTTAGGGTCAAGAAACCCTAGAAGTTGTTCAACATAAACTTCCTCTTGAGTTTTTCCATTAAGGAAAGCACTCTTTACATCCATTTGAAACACTTTAAAGTCTCTATGGGAAGCAAAGGCTAGAAAGAGTCGAATAGCTTCGAGTCTAGCCACTGGTGCGAAGGTTTCGTCATAATCGATTCCTTCTTCTTGTCTATAACCCTGAGCAACGAGACGTGCCTTGTTGCGGGTCACCACATCTTGTTCATCTAACTTATTGCAATAAACTCATTTGGTGTCTATCACAATTTTGTTAGATGGACGTGGGACAAGGTACCAGACATTGTTCCTATCAAACTCAATGAGTTCCTCTTGCATGACAATGATCCAGGTAGGGTCTAAGATAGCCTCATTGATTTTATTGGGTTCAACTAGAGAAAGAAAGTTAACAAAGAAACATATATTACCTAGATCACGAGGTGTCTGAATACGTGCACTTGGATCACCAAGAATTTGATGAATTGAATGGTTTTTAGTCCATTGCTGAGCTGGTAGAGGATTATCATCTGAGCTTAGATGTTCAAGTACAGAAGATGAGGCTTCAGTCACCATAAATTAAAGTTTGTCTAAAGTTCTTTGTTTTTTTCAATGAGTTTTCTTTCTTTGGCTTAAGTTTTTAATGAGGCAAGAATTATGCACCATCACCCCCTTTGACTCACAAAAAGGGGAATGTTGAAGGATTGTGTGCCTTCATGAAAGAATAGTTTTTGAAGTATTGGGATTTACGACAATGAATGTTTTCTTTTCATTATAACCAACCCTATTTAAAAAAATTAATGATTAATGAGGATTATAGATTTCATATTCTCTATCTACTTGTTTTGTTTCATTGTTCCTATGACATTATGTTCATTCTAATTCTATTCATCAATTGTTTTAGTACAAGGAGTTGTATTTTTGTTAACAAGTTGTGACATGACAAGAACTCGTAGTCACATTAAATGTTCTTGTAATAACTTCCTTGAAAAAATATGTCAAATATCTCTAATGTAGATGCTCTATATAGAAAATCTGTCCAAGTCGGCGTAAATTCTTTTTAAGATTTAAACTTCTAGTTTTTTATTTTAAATAATTTATGAGAATAATATGTTAGAAAATATTCTTAGGTGCCAACCAAACATGTAGACAACATATTTCTACAATAAAAATGCTATTAATCTATAATTTATAAGCAAAAAACACACATTAACAAGCAACCATATAACAAACGGAATTATTGAGCAAAATGACCACAAAATAATGAAGATGTGCCCACAATATCCACGTCTCCACTCAAACCACATCAAATCAATTTTTTTTCTTTCTGACGGAACAATCTCGGTTTCTCAACTCAAACCGCATCAAATCTCTTTTTTTTTTTTTCTTTAATGTCAAAATGATGATCATCCCCCTTTTCTGTTATTATTATATACAATGCATCCTTAAAGCAAGCAGAGGTCATGGATGACAATTAATCATCAACGATCATTCACTTGATTGCCTTCTCTGTGGTTACCCCGACAACTACATTGCTTACCTAAATCATCACAAAACCAAATCATCATCAAAGAGAGCTCCATCACAAATATAACTCGGGAGAAGGGGTAAGAAGGAAGAACGTACCAGTTTTCCACTCTCGTCAACTGACATGGGATTTTCAACAACTACAGTTTGGTTATGAGAATGAGGGGTTTCCTGTAGAAGATATCAACGAAATATGAAATCCATGTACCTTGTAAGACACAACCCTAACCCTAACCCTAACCCTAACCCTAACCCTAGGAGTATCTCCAACCGCTTCTCCAAAATTATGGATTAAAAGTCGATCTCAAAAAAATAGTTGCACATTCGACTCCAGCATTTTTCAATTTTGAGTATATAATTAAAATACTTAACAAACGAAAAAAAATCCTTCTCTTTCTTCCTCCATTTAATTTTATTGGTTAGTTGGAGTTTTTCTTGGAAATAAGAAAAAATCATTATCTTCCTCCATTTACATTTGGAGGATTCTCCAAATTTGTAGAATTTTAGCTCTCCTACTATATTTATTTTGGAGAAAGTTTTGAAGAAATGGTTGAGAACAGAAAGAGCTTAAAAACTCCAAAATCTCCCGGACTGGACAGGATGGGCTGGACTGGACGAGAGGGATGTAGGTAGGTGAAAGAATTGAATCTTGTCCAATCTCCATGATTTGTGTTCCACCTATTTTGGTGGGACAAAAAAAATTCAATTTTGGTCCCCACTCATTCATGTCCTGTTTCAGTCTAATGGCACACCAAACGTGAGACAACAAATTTTTGTTTTGTCTTGTCCTGTCCCATGTAACAAACGCAAAGTCGGAACTGTCGACAAAAAGTAGTCGGAATTTGAGGTACCTTGACTAATTAGAAAATTTTTCATGGTACATTGACGAAAACTCAGTTGCACAAACACTTTTGTGCCCATTTCTAACTTAACCCCCAATTAGTTTGGCATTAAAAAAAGAGAGCAGGCAACTCACTGTCGAAACAGAGGGCATTGATCCTGATGTTGCATTTCCATTAGGCCGCATGGAAACGGGAACCCTTCCACTGCTCATCTGCGGAAGACTTGTGATCAGTGGCAACACAAGAAAGCATGTCTGATCTGACATACACCTCATCAGACCATATTAAAGAGTGAAATACACCAGTAAATGAAAAAAAAAGAACATGAACAAAAACAAGACCTTCAGTTAATGCAACAGAAACTGGGTATGATTTTTGTAGCATTATGGTCATGGAATCTATCCTTTTAGGTAATTCTACATTGCCATCTAGCTTAACAGCTAGTTTTTACTAAATGTAATAGTTTAACAACTAACAGCTAGCTTATCAGCCAACAACTAGTTTTACAACTAACGGCTAGCTTATCAGCTAGTTCATCAAACATGGGTTATATGAATACTGAAATAATAGAAGACCAATTAGGAACGACTTTGCTCCAATTTACAAGTTCGTAAGTTAGTCATGCCACAAGGAATCACCCAATTCCCATCCCTTATCACAATGGGAGTACTCAAGTCAACTCACATTTTCTACACACCATAACCCAATGCTCAGACTCCCCACTCGAGAGAGAAAAGTCTTGCTTCTAGCTTTTCCGCTACATAAGATTCCCCCAATCAAGACATAATACCAAACTGGAAATCCCCTACTGCATTAGCAGTCGGTTGACTAGCGTTCAAGTATCTTTGTCACCACATATATGCCTCAGAATCTATAACTAGTACGAAGGGAAGACATGAATTGCTACCAACAGAAACAACCATACCAATACAAATTCAGCTTCCCAACTGGTACCATATATCTCTTTGGACTTACCACCATAGGGATAGAGCTTGATATTTGGGATCATCTAATAATATACTACCTGACTTTCAAACATACTAATGTTGGCAAGAAATCAAGGGCATGCTTCCTCTGGTACATGGTGGCACCCTTGGAGGAGGTAGTAATCTCAACAGAAGTACATGATACTCTAGGAGTCATCCACTTGAAAGCCCTCTAAACGAAAATTTTCAGAGTTATAGTCCCCTCTGAATGATGCCTAGTAACAACAATACTATCAACATAGTAAAGCAAAACTATTTGCATGTCAAGGGCTCCGGCTAGAAAACTAGAGCACCACACTATCTGTGTAGCTGAAAAATCCATCCCCTATGAGAGAAGCCATAAACTTCTATAGCGACTCCAAAGCTTCACTTTGGTTCTAGTGAATACTGTTTCCCCATCAATTAATACAAATCGCTGTGGACAGTATAAAACATGGCACTTTATCCCGTATTGTGTTGAAAGCAGTGGCACACAAGCCATTACAGAAGAAGAAATGTGCAATATGTCATTTGCAACTTCCAGAAAATTTCTTCAATGAACTCCCAAGAACAGATCTATGCAACTTTTTTACCATACGGTACCATCACATGCAAAGGTACTCTATAAGTAAATTCACACTTCAAACAATGAAGTCAAAAAGAAGATGGGTTTTGTTGTACTCACATTGACATTTGTAATGTAGTGACAAACTGCACATTTAACTGATGGGGCACCGAATGGATACATCAGCATTGTTCGGCAATTTCCACAATTTACTTGAGCAAGCTGGTTAGAAACTGTTGAAGCAAAAATAACTAGACCATTTAGGACAAAGAAATCATTATTGACGCAGAAAAATACAGGGTAACAATAAATCTGGGAAGTATACAAATAAGCTACAAAAGGTAGGTTCATCTCCATATTAATTTTCCCTTGTATAGGTGTGGGTGTGAGTGTGGTGATTCTACAATCTCTTGTCAGGTACTTGAACCAGACTACTAGCCATGGTGCCAACTGAAAGCAGTTAGACACAAGGCATCAACATATAGATTTTCCATGGTAGACCTCGATCATCAACAAATAAAGCCAAAGGAAGCAAAAGATGGCAATGGTGCATCCAAAGCAATGAAAAATTCACCTAACTGAACCCTGAAAGAGTTTTCAACAAAAATGCTAGGGTACAACAGTACTTGCATGCAAAAGAAAGGGAAAAGTTTAAACAACTCAATGGACTTTAGTGTTTGGAATGATCAAGTCCTTGGATAATTTTTTGGAACAAATAAGTCCTTGGACATTCCAAAACTTGTTAAATAACTCCTTGGACTTTCTAAAACCTGTTATATACATCCTTATGACCTACACAACTGGTTAATGTGTCAAAGTAATGAATTTTTTTTAAAAAAGAGCCAATGGACTTTCATATTTTAAACGATAAGTCCCTAAACATTTTTTGAACAAAAAAAGTACTTACATCTATAAAATGAAAAAAATATACCAAAAAAGTACTTACATTTAAAAAATAATTATTGATGAAATTTATTTTAATTAAAAATTGAATATATTTTGTCAGTGATTTTTCAAATTAATAAAAAATAAAAAAAGGATTTAAAAAGAATTATTGATCAAATTTATTTTAATTAAAAATAAAATATATTCCGTATGTGATTTTTTAAATTAAAAAAGATTTAAAGAAAGGATTTGTAGCGTCCCTGATCATAAACCCTAGAGCAAGCCTAAACCTTTATACATATAAATTACATAGCCTTGGAGAGTATACAACATACAATATACAAAAATACAAGATCAAGTTATAAATAACATCTCCAAGGTGCAACTTCAAAAGAAACATGATCAATTATCAATCTCATCCCCGTCATAACTGCTACTAACCTGCCGTGCATAAAAAAATAAACACGGCTACGACATGCTCTGTGAATGGATTAAAGATAGACAAGTAATCGTAAATTGGATTTAAATAAAACAAACAACGGAAGTAAAATCGTAAATCAATGACACATAACATGATGAAGCAAATATACACCCGAAGGCAAAATCAAGAATCACACAATCCAAAATTTTGCATCACAATGACGCGATGTCCAAGGGATGGCCAAATTTTCTCGAACGGGTGGGAATAAAGGTGCGGGCACGCGACTATCTAATCCCCTCTGTGACATGTTCACAGCCTGAAATATGGTAAACTAAATCTAGGATCGATCCATACGCCCTCTAAATGACCGGTACCAGGTCAGGTCCACTTAAGAACCTAATCAGAGTGAGGACGCCATGATAGTATTGTAGTAGTGTTTAGGTGTTTACTAGGTCTACATCTTAAATGTGTACCTGGTAAAAGAGGTTGTTGAATAAATCCCTGATTTGTAGGGCTTACCCAGTCTTTTAGGAGTTCTTTGTTTTCTGTTCAGCACCAGTCATTTCTTTGTTTTGTACGTCTATTTAAGAAGTCTCAACTTGCTAATAAGAATTAAGTCAGTTTTGGCATTCATTTGTTGTTTACTGCATCTCTTGAAATTCAACATTTTGGTATCAGAGAGCCAGGCTGACTTCAAGACAGAGTGATACACTTGTGAGAGAGATGAATTCAGATGCAAGCTTTGCTCAACCAAGCATCCCGAAATTTGACGGGGATTATGAACATTGGAGTCTCCTCATGGAGAACCTCCTGCGTTCAAGAGAGTATTGGAGTGTTGTGGAATCTAGGATTCCGGCAGACAATGCGGAATCGAAGCTGAAGGATCTGAAAGCCAAGAATTATCTATTCGCCGCAATAGATAAATCTATATTGAAAACGATCACCAAAAGAGATACAGCAAAACAATTGTGGGATTCCATGAAGGTGAAATACCAAGGGAACGAGAAGGTGAAGAGAGCTCAGTTGAACAGACTAAGAAGATCATTTGAAGTTTTGATGATGAAGAACGGTGAATCTGTTACAGATTACTTTGGAAGGGTTATGGTGATAGCCAATGAGATGCGAAATTGTGGAGAACATATGGAAGACGTCAAGATTGTAGAGAAGATCTTGCGGACGTTAACGGAGAAATGGAATTATGTTGTTTGTTCGATCGAGGAATCTAAGAACATAGATGAATTGTCGATAGATGCATTGCAAAGCTCCTTGCTGGTGCACGAACAAAAATTTAAGAGAGACAACGAAGGAGATGAAGAACAGGCGTTGAATATCTCATCAGAAGAGAGGCAAGGGATATACAGCCGAGGAAGAGATGAAGAACATGAGTTGAAGACCACATTCCAAGATAGGCAAGGGATGCGTGGTCGAGGCGGCCGATTTTTCTTTAGAGGAAAAGGAAGAGGCAGGGGCAGGTCTATCTACAACAAAGCAACCTCAGAATGTTACAAATGTCACAAACTTGGACATTTTTCATATGAGTGTCCAGAATGGAGAAAAGAAGCAAACTACGTTGAGAATGAAGAAATGCTACTGATGACATATGCAGAAGTCCAAGAGAATAAGAAGAATGATGAGTGGTTTCTCGATTCTGGGTGTTCGAATCATATGTGTGGTGATCGATCAAAATTCTGTGACCTAGACTATCAGTTCAAAACAACTGTGAAGCTAGGAAACAACTATCAAATGAATGTTGTTGGAAGAGGTAACGTTAGAATCTGGTTGAATAATGTAAGTCATGTCATCATTGATGTTTATTTTGTTCCAGACTTGAGAAACAATTTAATTAGCGTTGGCCAATTACAAGAAAAAGGTCTTGCTATCTTGATTAAAGGTGGAGCCTGTAAAATATATCATCCCACAAAAGGACTAATCATTGAAACAACAATGAGTGCACAGAGAATGTTCATCTTAACAGCAGAAACACGGGGAGATTTAAAAGAGAAGGAGCAATGTTTTCTCACAAAGGAGCAGGAGGTCACAAAGTTATGGCATAGGCGGTACGGTCATTTAAACTTTAATGGTTTAAAGACTTTGGAGACGAGGCAAATGGTACGAGGCTTACCATCATTTGAGATAGTTGATGAGGTATGTGCAGATTGTCTCATTGGAAAACATAATCGTGAGTCATTCCCAAACAAAAGCACATGGAGAGCAGATAAAGCACTGGAATTGGTTCACGCAGATATATGTGGCCCCATCAGTCCTACCTCGAACGGTAGTAAAAGGTACATATTATGTATTATTGATGATTTTAGAAGGAAGTCATGGATGTATTTCTTAGCTGAAAAATCAGAAGCACTTCACCGGTTCCTATGCTTCAAGAAGATGGTTGAGAATGAATCAGGTCTTGTCATTAAGTGCCTACGTACAGACAGAGGGGCAGAGTTCAATTCCACGGCATTCAAAGAAGCTTGCAAAGAAAATGGAATCAAAAGACAGCTTACAGTCCCTTACACACCACAGCAAAACGGAGTTGCGGAGCGTAAAAACAGAACTGTATTAAACATGGTACGTGCTATGTTATCAGATATGAAGATGCCGAAGACGTTTTGGGCCGAAGCGACCAACTGGAGCAATTACATCTTGAATAGATGTCCAAATGCAGCCCTCACAAATGTTACACCCGAGGAGGCTTGGTCCGGGATCAAACCAGCAGTAGCTCATTTACGAGTGTTCGTTTGCATTGCACATGCTCATGTGCCTAAAGAACGTAGAAGTAAACTTGATGATCGGAGCATAAAGTGTGTATTCTTGGGATATAGTGAAGCGTCGAAGGGATACAAGTTGATTGACCCCCAGACCAACAGGATATTAATCAGCAGGGATGTCGTTTTTGAAGAAAATCAAGAGTACAACTGGACGGAGACTCATACAGCCTCAGTATTGATGGACATGGAATGGGAAGATGGAGAAATCAACAAGACTACAAGTATCACTCACACTCAACCAGAAAGTGAAAGTAGAGAAATAAATGGAGGACTTGAAGGTGACATAAATTCTGGGAGGGAAGCTGAGTCCAGTACTAGAACTAAAAGACGCACACAACCTCCAAGATGGATGAAAGACTACTCTTTAGGTGATAGACTGGAAAACATTGAAGATGATAATGATGAACCAGCTGTGAATATGGCTATGATGGCAACCTCTGACCCTGTGTATTTCGAAGATGCAGTAAGAGAGAAGCATTGGAGAGTGGCTATGGAAAAGGAAATGCTGTCAATCGAGAAGAATAACACTTGGAGTTTAGTTGACTTGCCAAACGGTGCCACAGCCGTAGGTGTAAAGTGGGTATACAAGACTAAGTTTAATGAGCACGGAGATTTGGAGAAATACAAAGCACGATTAGTAGCCAAGGGCTACTCTCAAAAGTACGGAATAGACTATCTTGAAGTCTATGCGCCTGTTGCCAGAATCGAGACGGTAARGACKATCGTAGCATTGGGAGCTCAACGTAACTGTAAGATATACCAACTCGATGTAAAGTCAGCATTTCTGCATGGAGACCTCAATGAAGAAGTGTACATAGACCAGCCAAAAGGGTTTGAGGTAAAGGGAGCAGAAAATAAAGTGTACAGGTTACATAAAGCCCTTTATGGACTAAAACAGGCACCTCGTGCTTGGTTTAGTCGTATAGAAGGATATTTCACAGCAGAAGACTTTCAAAGATGTCCAAATGAACAAACCTTGTTTACCAAGACAAACAAGGCAGGTAACCTACTCATTGTCGGTATTTACGTTGATGATCTTATATATACAGGGGGCAATGATGAGATGGTGAAAGAATTTAAAGCCTCTATGATGAGGATTTTTGATATGACCGATTTGGGACCAATGAAGTACTTCCTTGGCATTGAAGTTTCACAAGGC